AAGTGAGAGAACGAGTTAATTATTAGTTAATAAAAACAGTTTGTTGGGTAGGCGGAATCTTTCAAAAACATAAAATACTAACATTAGGTAATAAGGAACACGAGGGCCGTGGGGGAAAAAAATGATGATAAAAGGGGTCCTTGGTGGAGAAGAGGTTGGGAACCACTGATCTAGACTATAAGTTTGGCATAATTTTCACCTCAGAAAGAACCTTGTAAAGTATATAAAATACTGATTTTCTTATGCTAATTAATTAAATATTAGCTATGGTGCCATGGAGAGCATTTTTTAGTATGTATGTATTTCATTTCCTGCAATTTCCCAATCGTTTGGCATTCTGTGCTGCCATAGTATATTTGTAGGTATAGGGATGTGTCACAGTCCTTTTGAGGTGTGATATTCATAGTGATATTTCTAAATGGTGAAGTGTTAATAGATGCAGTATTTTGAAGAAGAGTCTTTAGTGCGTGATATAGAAGGGGGAAAAACTTATTGAGAAATGTTTAAGAAGAATTGAGTTCTGAAACTGCATCCCAAACCAATCTTGAACAACGACTTAATCTGCAAAGAAAAGACTAGGGTTATGAAAGGAAACCCATTAAGCCATTACATTGAAGCTGTGAATTTGTTCTAGTACTGTTAAGAAGATAATGAACAAGTATCTAAAGTTGATGAAGGCTCACAACTTTCCAACCACTCAACAAAACCAGTGAATGTTTTCTAAGAAAGATGAATGAAGAAACTGAAATTACAAAAGTTCAAATAGACTTTTGTTTCTTTGGTTTCCCCAAAAATGATCTTAGAAGCTGATTCCCTGTACAATGTAGGTGCCTACAGAATGTGTGGTCTGAGATTAACTGTGTCAAATCTTTGTTATAGTGTGATATTGTCAAATAATAGTGCATAACCAGTTGGTAACACAATCTGTAAAAGAAGAAATTAGTTCCAAGGGTGGTACAGAACCTGGAACATCATTTTTATAAAGTGTGTTAACCATCAGTACATTGAAAGTGAGGGAAGTTGAAATATAAAAAGTACTGGTTAGTAATGTACATAAATTTGATTTTGAAGATAAAATCATTACTTCTTGACAGTAATTATTACTATATTATTAATTCAAGGTAATTATGAGTTTTTATTTTAACTATTGATGTGATGATTTTTAATATGAAATTCTTCAGATTTCATTCTTGGCATTTATGTCATATTACCAATCTTTTTTTTAATAGTAACTAATGTGTATATATATATATATATATATATGTGTGTGTGTGTGTGTTTGTTAATGTTGCATATAAATTTGTTTTATTTCCTTGTTTTTTATTTAACCAATATTATAACATGTCTTGCATTTTCATAAGTGAAAATTAAAAGTTTTGTTTATTTTTAAAATGTCAACGTATTGATAATTTAGATATAAGTAAGCTGTAGTAACAATAAGATGCCAATATTAAGCTAAAAGTATAAACTTTCCAGAATTAAGACAGTTATGTAAAGGATTGGTTTTTCAACTAAAGCAAAGTGTACAGTTATGTGAAATGTGTACAGTTCATTTTACATACATTTTATAGCCCCCATTGTCTTAATTATTTTAGAAGAAGATATTAATAGGAAAGTAAATGATACTGTATTAAATATTTTGAAGTTCTATTTGTAGTTTGTAGGATAAATATTAACTTTTATCTCTTCAATTATCTATGCCATTTTTCTGTAGATCTAAAAAATGGTTTGTGTATAAATGAATGTTGCATATATGAGATCTCAAGATTTTAGCATACCTTGTTACAATTTTTGTCACCTTGTTACAATTTTTTGTCGCACAGACACACAAGCATGTATATATATTATTGTACATAGGATTTTATAATATTATATTTAACTAACATATCAGCAAGATCTGCCAAGTAGGTGTTTTAAGTTAAACTTGCACATTGTTTGACATTAAAATGTAAATCATTTACCTCTGAAATTGTGTTTATACTGTTCATTTACTTGTAGGGTACTTGTGTTACATCATATTGAACAATCTTGTATGTATCTGTTACAACACTTGGTGTAACTAACTGACCAGAAAAGTTGGATGAAATTTCTCATTTTCTACATAAAAAAACAACAACAAAAAACCATAAAGATCCCAACAGTAATTGATGGGATTGATAGCAATATTAATGATATTTTTGTTTAGATTTGTTTGTGACTCGTATGTTATTATGGACCCTGTAACCTATAATTATGGACCCACAAGCAAATTGGAGTGTAAATAGCTAAAACAGTGTCTTAAAAATTGATATCTTATGGATCCCATCAGTAGTTTAGGGCTAATAAAGCAAAAGTAATCTTAATGACAATATTTTTTTTATTTCATCTTATTTTACTTGCTTGTGTGCTTCTGGAAAGATATACTTTCTTTGTCTGATTGTTAATATAGTTGAACAAATCAACCTAAAGTTAACCATTTTTTATATTTTATGGATTTGTCTTATCCAGATGCTCCATAATTACACATTATCTCCAGAAAAGGAAGAGAAGAATGTTCATACTTTTATTCAAAAAAGTAAAAAACCTGAGATTGTTTCGTCCAAAGAAAAGAAGATTCTTAACACGGGGATTCGAAGACACCCCATTTCAAAACCTCGAAGAAGCATTCCTTTATCCAAAGTGGATTCAAGCGATGAAGGTATTGTAAAAGTTGTGTACTTGTTTTGATTTATGCAAGTATGTTATTCTGAATACTTAACCTATTTAGTGTATGTGTTTTTGTCCTTTTCTGAAGAGGGAAATTTGGCTACCTTTCCAGTATGGGTCATCATTTGAAAATTTATTTTCACTGTCTAACTGAATAGTGAACATATTATTCACCTTAAATTATAACTTTGATTCCATATGTATTTTTATATAAGTTTGCTTTTAACAATCAAGCTGAAAATTAAGATGTTGCTTACCTTAGCCATCTACAAGCTAAACAAAAAGGAATGATAAAATGTAATTTGCTGCTAGAATGTAGAAGCAACATCCACGTAGCAGTTGCTATAGACTGTATGCTATGTTTTAATTTATGAATAAAAAATAAGTATGTTTAAAAAATTAAAATTACATTTTAATAGTTTACCTAGCATTACCAAGTGACAAGCTTTGAATAGAATCATATGACAGTTCAAACTACCATGTGTTACAATATTGGTAATAATATTATATTATTGTTTAATAATGTAATAGAAATGAACAACATCTGAGTAAAGGAAAACAAACAATATATTTAACTGTATGCTACTTTTAAATTTTTTGGATTTGTCATATGGCTAACATTTTATGGCTTTTAAAGATTCAAATTATATTGTCAGTTTTCTTTCATATTTGAATGTAATCCATTCCTACATTAAATATACAGTTGAAAATGAAGTTGATGATAAACACTAATTTTTAAAAGTTTCAATGGAAAGAAAAATTCACACGTCTGTTTTTCAAAAGGAAACACACTCAGGAGTATTATGTTTTGCAGTTCCTTTCACGATCCTGATCACAAAATATGGATTATATAAACTTTCTTACAACTAAAAATTTAAAAGCCCCTTTTATGTTTTTGAAAACATGGTTATTACATAATCACTTCAATTTTTAAGGTGTTGAAAGTATTAACAAAGAAAACAGTATAAATTATAAAACATTAAATAATCTCTTAATCCAAAAACCAAATATTAATACATATACAGATGTACAGTTATATTTATTTTAATTATGCTCCTACTGTTTTGCAAAATAGTCTGTCCCAACCCAATCTGTGGATAGGGTATCTCAAGATTGAATGGACTGTGAACAAACTTATACAAGAGGTACAACATGCAAAGTTGTAGACTTGAGTAACTTTTGAAGGTCATTGGTACATAGAAAATGTTCCCCAACCTTGTGGACGTGATATTGCAATTCAGGATGAATGGATCTTGACCAAACTTTATAAAATATAAACTACACATAAGATCTACACCTCATTAACTTTTGAAGGTCATCAGTAATGGGAGTGTAGGTGTTTCATAAACATAACTTACACTTATTTGCCCCCCCCCTACTTAACTGTTTCTAATTTCTGTTACGTTATTCTTTGATGATGTAATATCCTAACTAGTAACACATAGAAGTTTGAACTGACAAAAAAGAGAAAGTGCCAAGAAACTTGGGATCAGTGAAGATAAAAGGCTTGGAAGAGGTCCTTGTACAATGGGGCAGAAGAGATTGATGGAAGCTGTGGCATCTGTAAGTGTCGAAGAAAGTGGTAAGCCATTATCATGAAGCAAAAACAAAAAGGAAGTAGCATTTTGTTGAGGAGTTTGAGATAAACAGGAAATTTTGGATTTAATGCACCAACTCCTGAAGGTAGCCTAAAGTGAATAAGACACCACAAGGGAATAGCTTAGACTAGAGTGGGCTAACACATGACTCTCTAGAAGATAATCTGGCTTCTTGGACAAAGAATGCAAAAACAACTAGCTAGTTCTAATATGTTGATGTAGGTTATTGCTTCTTGAGAGGTGCAGAAACCAGAACATCACTGATTCCCCAACACAGATCCCCACCTGTGAGAGAGCCATCTCTGAGAAAATAAAGGTCTGTAGAAAAAAGAAATGAAGATCCAGTTGTTGTAAATTTTCATTTCAACCAAAACTGGAGAGACTCATGAGTGATAGAAGAAATAGTTAGGCTGAATGACAGCAGATCTGAAGACAGATGTCAATAAGAAACAAAGTCCTATTGGAGGTGTCACATATGAGCATGTCCAATTGGAATAACATTGTAAAGAGAAGTTTTTAATGCCAAAGCACAAAGGATGTCTTTTGTAGTAGGTGTGGATGACAGAGTGTAAATACAAGACTCAAAGGCTTGCAATGCCATAGGAGACTACTAAAGATTTCCATGAACTGAGTTTATCCAAAATCTCAGATGTACCAAATACTATGTTGATACTAATTGGGACATGGATTTGTTGATGATTCACCTCAGACACACAGCAAACTAGATGATCAACAGAATGTATTGAAGATACTATGTGGTTGAAGAGGTCAGAATAAGCCAATCATCCATACATAAATGAAAGTTGATGTCAAGTGAATGGAGAGAAGACCATAAAATGTAAAAAGCTGAGGCCAAGCCAAAGGGAATGGCAATGAAGTGGTGAAACTACCCTCTGATGGCAAAAATGATGAAAATTATGAATGAATAGGAATATTCAAATAAACATTCTGTATATCCATCTTTTCCTCATCCAATAAAAATGTGAAGAAGCTTGAAAAATTCCTTCAACTGCCTCTTTTTAAAGGATCTCTGAGGCTTCTTGACCCAGAAAATGTATGCACACTGGATTGGTAGAAAGATAATAAAACTGAAGGAAAAGGACCCTAAAGCTGAGTGTCTTGTAGATATACATGACCACACTGGTGTGGAGAGTCAAAAGAAATGAGTGGAAGCAGTAGATGTTGATTGCTAAATTGATGAGGAAGGCAAGGCGGGAGGATGAACTTTACTAACTTTTCCTATCAAGGAAGAACAACCAGAAAACATTCATGAGGCTAGAACCCTAATCAGCTCCTGCTAGCATGTTTCTCCTGAATGGGAAACAAGTTTTGGTAAAATTCCTACAATTACAAAATGATGCTGAGTAGCAGAAGATTGCCTTTATTAAAAGGCTTTTGCATGAGGAACGTGAAGGCTGTTACTGTGCTAAATTCCAAATGACCAGAATATCAGGAGATTGTGGTAGAAATAATGATTTCAGAACTGAATTCTCAAATATAACTACTACCTTCAAAGTGTAAAAAAAAATACTTCAAAAGTTTAAATAGAACATACCTAGAGAAAAACAAGAAGAACTAGCAGAAGCTTTTGTCAGGATTAGTGCTAGCTTCAAACACTGAAGGCAAATGGGCCTCAGCAAAAGAACTTCCTTGTTCCAGATTATGAGAAAAGAGCAGGTGTGTCACTGGGGGACACCATCAGTCAACTTGTGATAAATAATTTAAATATATTGATCAGTGAGAGCTGACAGTGTAGCCACAGGATCTTTGTGCATGCTCAAGGTAGCCCACATGAGTAAGGTTTCCAACAAAAAAGAATTCCTGATGTTTGTAGAAGCATTAATATCATAATTAATTGACTTACAAATTCATTAAAATCTTAACTGTCACCAAGAAAATTGGTTTTGGTGGGAAAGCAGAACTTATATGTTCTCCCAACACAAGCACAATAGTCACTCAAAGGTAGGAGAGTGGAGAATTCTGGGTAAGTTACTGTATGCTCTATGTTGTATCAAGGACATTCAGAATTGTAAGTCACATGGTTGCTGACTTCATAAAAGCAACAAGAGAAGGCTTTTAGAATTTTAGAGCTAAGTCTACCTGATTTGAATTAATTTTACATATGCATGGGAATGGAGTAATATCAAGAATCTCCAACTTCTATATGTAGTTCATCTTTTCTATCATAATTTATCAGTATAGATATTATCAGTTTGTTTTCACAATAAAAAAGGAAATGATAGTTGCCCACTTAATGAACACATGCAAACTATGTTAATGGATGAAGAATTTAAAAAATATATTTGTTATGTAATGAATACTATGAGATAGTTTTTGGATATTAGTGTTAGATTTTATCACAGGTAATTTAATTTCCAAATCATGGCTAGTTAACATGAAGCATTCACATGTGAAGGCTTAGATAATCTTACAGCATTGTAGTTCTCTGTATGAATCTAATAATGTGATTAATAAAGATTATATTCCTAAAAGAAATGTGTAGTTGAGAGCTAGAATTAGTGAGTGAAGTAGTGAAATATAATTGGCTTCTTTTTTTATCAGTATACTACATTATATCATGTTATAAGAGTTGGCAACCTTGAATTTTGGTTGTTCTTCATTGTTTTGGATATGCACGTTTTGTGAGGTTTGTATTACAAAAGTTCATGCAAAAGAAATACAGATCATTGTTCAAGATTGACAACTGTGACTGTGAATAGTATTAATTTTTCTTTTAGTAACCAGATCACAAACTATTTTTATGTCAAAAAATGTCAGTTGCATATATTAACTTTATATTTTTATTAAGTTTTAGTAATGATTTGCTTCCTTTATTTTTTTTTTCAAATGTTCATCATCCAACATGCAAAGTAATTTTGATTTTAAGATTAAAAGTACTTTTATGCATCAGAAAATTGTCAAATTTTCCATGCAAAATCATTATAACCTCCTAATAAAAAAAACATTATATTTTATCTGTTGTGTTCTTTATTGTGTCTGTATGGGTTTGGTAGATTTGATTGACCTTATAACCAACATTAAAAATTAGGAAATAGAAATAAATTACACTTTTTTTCATTATAGAATGACTAGAAGTTATAACAAGAAACCACAAACGTTTAGTCTAAATGTATTAAATCTTATAACATTATACATCTATATATATTTATTATTTTTATTTTATTGACCTTTCAGCCATGTCAAACTAACATTACAGAGTTGCAATGATGCAAAGCACATGCACTCATGTTACCATATCCAACAGTATAAAACTGGCCTTTACAAAGTGACCTGTCTTGGGTTTGTTCTAGTTAACCAGTATTTTATAAAATACAGTTACCTTTTGGTTATAATACATTACATATGTATATATTATTACTATTTACAAATAAGTTCTTAAATTTCAGTTATTTTTCTTAAAACGTACAACAGTAAATAAAGAAATATAGAAAACAATTATTTTTTTCTACTTTCAAAATTTGATGGAGGATGAACAACAAAATAATTTTCTTTAGGTTTTATATATGCACTTTGAAATAACCGAGTACTACCAATTACTCCTCAGTATTGCAAAATTCCACTGTAATTTATCAGGCTTACTAACTAAACTGTATTTGGGTAAAAAAAAAATAATTGTTTTTCTGATAACATTTTCACTTACCCCTACTTTCTAGAGGCTGAGAAAAATGTGGGGTACGTTCTAAGCTTTTGATTGGTTTTTACACGTCATAGACAGAAGTAGATGTATGTAAGCAAGTATTTCCCACAGTGTTTGATTTGCTAAATGTAGTGATATCTCGGCAAATAGAAAAGACAGGAGGTTCTTATTTTATATTCTGGTTTGTCAGTATCGCTAATTTGAGTTTCTAATTCATAAGAAACTATAGACTTTGTATTTGGACATCACAAACGTATAATTTGAAACAAAGCTACATTTAACATACCATGTGACACACAAAAAATTATATTTAGGAATTTTGTTTTAATATTAATTTTTAAATTAAGAAATTAACTAATGTTTAGTACTAAAATTTTAATTATAATCTACAATCCGATATCATACTTATTGGTGTGCATTCATAAAATAATAGATCAATAAGATTTTGAATGTATGTATACAAACGTGATGGCATGCCCTTTGATCCCTGACCATAGGAAGACCCATAGTGAGAAAGCTAACACGTACTCTGTCAGTATATGGTACAATCAGGATTAGACTATAGCCTTCCACCAGTAGAAGAGTGACACATCTTCCATGTACAGTACTCCTCTTGAGCATGTTGTATATACAAAAGTCTCATTCTTCTCTTGAAACTGCTTGGTTTCAGACTTTTTTTTTGCATTACTAATTAATTTTGCACTTGTTGCTTCAAACATTTAGTTTTCATTTAAAATTGTAGTCTTTATTTTCTTGATTTTCATGACAGAAAAATACAAAATTTTATAGATTTCAGTTAGAACTTCTGATTTGAATTATTATCTTTTCTCCCATTAATTTGATTTCTCCTCTTACTCAAGTTACGTGATTTGAGACGTGTCCTAGAGTTTATGATATGGTTTCTTTGACAGGAATATTTCCCATTGTTATTAAACATGATGTTTGAGGTTCGATAATTCTTTTGAATTTTTGTTGCTGCATCATGACCAAGACCTATGTACCATGGACATATCAGACCTGTTCAAGGTAAATGGTTTTATGGATTGGCTCAACTATGAATTCACACACCCAAATTTCTGACACTCCACAATAAGAGTTGTCTTGTACATTTTCAGTGGTGACAAGAGACACTAACAGTGAGTGAATGTTATGCTTTTGTGCATTAGGTTGTAAGTTCCATTCTACTTTCAGATCCAGAATTTTGATCGTCTGTTTCTATTGCTTCTGCTGAACCTGCCTCATCTTTTGGCAGTTTTATCCTGCTGTTCCTACCACT